CTACCGTCAAATACACGTTACCTTCCCATCCTTTTCTTATAAGGAAAAGGGACTAAAGTTGGGCCTCCGGCACTACACTCATCAGACTGTACGCGAAATTGCTCTCACTTCACACCTGTCTTCTGTGTGGTCGTGGTATTTCCTCGTTTTATACATACAACTTTCATACTTATATTATAAACTAGTTTTGATGAGGTCTTCTACCACAAAACCGTTGATCCGTCCCGTTAAGAATCACCCTGTATATATAATTACCAATCCACAGATAGTTATCTAATAAAATATGTTATATGTTTTTTTTTATATTCAACTTTAACTATTTATACTGTTATTAATAATTTGTAAATATTGTATAATGTCAGCGAATAAAGGCTTTATCAATCTATCTATCGTGCGCAGACGCAGCCGGTGACGGCGCGCTCGCTGGAGACGCTGATCCGGCTGGCGACGGCGCACGCCAAGTGCCGCCTCAGCTTCCACGTGGCGGAGCACGACGCGCAAGCCGCCATCGACCTGCTGCACTACGCATACTTCAAGAAGGTCACACAATCAAATTAAAAAATAACATTTAATCTTATCACCATTACAACAAAATAGGAATAAGAAAAAAAACACAACAAAGTAATTAAACAAAATAATAATCTGTGTATTGCAGTGCTGACCGGATTGGGTCCTCGCTCAGCTGTAAATGCTGGATGCTTCTGATTGAAGCACCCAGCGCTGACCTCCCGCGAGATTCACTTAATTGACAATTAGCCCCCACCCCCAGCCCCCCACCACTGACATATATAAATCGACAAGCTGTATACTTAGAATGATTGTTGTCCGCAATATTAAGATAAAAAAAACATACAGACGAATTGAGTACCTCCTTTTGGGAAGTAGGTCAAAAAGTAGCCTATATGGGGGTCTATGTCAGCTACACTTCATTGAAAGTGCGGTCAAAATCGGCCCAGATATTTCGGAGATTACCCGGAACAAACGCGGCTTGAGGACAGACAGATAGACAAAAAAAATTTAGACAATTTTCGTTATCAGCAACCTAAAAACATCATTTTTCCGAAATTTCAAATTTCTCTTTTGATATTACACACAGACACTCCAATTTTAATATATGTATATCTAGTAAGATCGAATAAAAGTGTCAAAACAAACAAGAATAAATATATTACTAGTCGAAAGTTAGATACATTTTTTTACTATTTTATCAGCGATATCTTTATCCTAAGTTACTAAATCTGGGATGCTTGATTACACCCAAATTTCTGTTACCCTTAAATATTCTTTGTTGACCGACTTCCCAAAAGAAGGAGGTACTCAATTCGTCTGTTTTTTTTTTGTTACAACAATCTGTATTATAATAATAAATTATATTTCTTAGGTGTTAACGAAAGAGAAGCGTCGTAAACGGCGAGCGTCCTCCGAGGAGGAGGGCGAAGCGCCCGAGGGCGAGCGCCTCAAGCAGCCGCGCG